GCACACGTGGATGTGGCACAGTGAAAACAAAAACGTTGTCAGCTGTGTGTTGTGGGTGTGGCTGTGGTTGCCTTTGGAGGCAAGACGCAGCCCGCTGTGACATGCGGGTCGATGAAGTAATGCGAGCGAGAGCAAGCAAAGCTTTGCATGGATTGCTGGTGTTGAGCCAAAAGTCTATGATGTTGAAGCAAGTTGCAAGCCGCTGGCGGAGTGACGGCAAGGCACATGTATGTGTGTATATCTGCTGTGATCTCTGATAGAGGGTGGGCGCTGTCTGTCTGTTGTTTTGAATAGCGGCAGGTGGCGACTGTCCTTGATGACACCAAGCTTGCGCATGCAGGAGGCAATTCCGCCGTGAGAGCGGTGTGGATTGTTCTTCTTGAGAGGGTGCCTTGAGCAACACTCTATCATGAGTGGAGGCAAACTGTGCTGTGAGCACGATGATGATGTTGGGCACGCACACATGCGTGGATGAAGTCTGTTTGATGCGAAACAGTGTTGTGTGTTGTTTCGAAAGAGAGCCATGCGCACTGCATGCTGCTGACAGGCACGTGCTGCCATTGTATCTGTGTGTGTTGTGGTGTGTGTAGTGTGAGCAACGTTGCGTTGTTTGCACACACACATGCACATGCATGCACATGTGAAACAATGGTGGTGTGTGTTTTGTTGGCAGAGCAGGTTGTTGTCACTGGCACTCACTGAGAACAGCACACACATTGTGTACTTGCATTGAATGACACTGCTTCATCCACACACTCTCTTGTGTGTGTGTCTGGGGTTGTTGTTGTGTGCATAGCCACAAGAACAAAACCAAAAAGAAAAACAGAACGACCTGAGTGGCACGTGCAGCGATGTGCGTGTTGCTTGTGGAAGCTTTGTTTGTTGGGGTGCAGGAGGAGCGGGTGAGTGAACAGTGAGGGGAAGAAGGAGAAAAAGCACAGCATTCATTGTATTGTTGTGTGTTTTCTTCTCGCTTTTCCCTTTGCTTGTCTCTCTCTCGTCTCTTCTGAATCCTCGACAGCCATAGCTGGGCGGCAGCTGTGGTGTGTTGTGTTTGTGTTGTGTGCAATGTGATGTGTTGTGTATTGTGTGTGTGCATTGTGTATGGGCTTACAACCTACACGCATCCACACACATCTACACATGCATTCATCTACTTACACGCACATCAAATACACACCACGAACAGCCACTGCCCCTTCTATGGAGAGATAACTGGTCGATCCTGCCAGTAGTCATATGCTTGTCTCAAAGATTAAGCCATGCATGTCTAAGTATGAATAGTATTCTTGATACTGTGAAACTGCGAATGGCTCATTAAATCAGTTATAGTTTATTTGATAGTTTGCAACTCGTTTTTCGGAGCGGTGTTGTGCTAGACGGATAGCCGTGGTAATTCTAGAGCTAATACGTGCGACAAGGCCCGAGAGAGAGAGGTGTGTGTATGCACATTTTTTCCTTTCGAGGGCTGCATTTGTTAGGTATAAAGCCAGCAGGAACATGACTGGTGAATCAGAATAACTTTGCTGACCGTTACACTTTTGTGTGTGATGGTGTCTCATTCGAATTTCTGCCCTATCAACTTTCGATGGTAAGGTATTGGCTTACCATGGTGACAACGGGTGACGGGGAACATTTGGTTCGATTCCGGAGAGGGAGCCTGAGAGACGGCTACCACTTCCAAGGAAGGCAGCAGGCGCGCAAATTACCCAATCCTGACACAGGGAGGTAGTGACAATAAATACCAATGCACGGTGTTTTTTATGCACTGTGCAATTGGAATGAGAACAATGTAAAGACCTTATCAAGGAACAATTGGAGGGCAAGTCTGGTGCCAGCAGCCGCGGTAATTCCAGCTCCAAAAGCGTATACTAAAGTTGTTGCAGTTAAAAAGCTCGTAGTTGGATTTCATGCGGGGTTCACGGTGTGTGGTGGGGGTGAGACTCTGTTTCGCCTTTGCCTTGCACTGTTTGCGCTCTGCAGTTTTAATACTCCCTGGTGGCGCCTTTGGCGCGTGCCCTTGATTGGGTGTGTGTCAAGTCACGTAGTGGTGGGGCGCTGTTGGGGGCTTTACTTTGAAAAAATTAGAGTGTTCAAAGCAGGCAGTCATTTGATTTGCTTGAATAGATTAGCATGGAACAACGGAAGAGGACTTTTGGGCCTGTACTGTTGGCGTGTGGTGCGGGGGTGTGGAAGAAGAAACCGCAAGGTTTTCTTATTCCTCCCTCACCACATCGGGTCTGAAGTAATGATTAATAGGGACGGTTGGGGGCACTGGTATTTCGTTGTCAGAGGTGAAATTCTTGGATTTACGAAAGACCGCCGACTGCGAAAGCATTTGCCAAGGACGCTTTCATTGATCAAGAACGAAAGTTAGGGGATCGAAGACGATTAGATACCGTCGTAGTCTTAACCATAAACGATGCCGGCCAGGGCTCGGTGGGCAGCACAAATCATTCTGTGATGGAGGCGCCATCGGGACCTTAGGGAAACCAA